ATTTATATCGTGTGCCGGTGTGCAAAATGAAGAGAAAAATATTCTGCAAACACTGAAAACCATTTAATTTTCGCCCGCTCAATTTTTCAATATGCTGGCGAGTGAGCAAAAAATATAGTGCGTCCGGTTAAATAATTCAGCAGAAAACACACTCTTTCTCAAGTGACTTATTGAAATAAATTTGTAGGACGATTTCGTTTCGGCCTTTTTTTTCCATTTGCCCCACTTTTTCATGCATTTGAAAATCATCCCCGCGGGAAGCGATGGAAATACGAAAGTTACTTTCTCGATCTATTTGTCTGTCTGTCATTTCCATTCCACAAAAGCGGCGAGATTGACTTTCCACATCGAGCACATCTTCTAGAATTGCTAAAGTATTTCATGCAATATAAATAAATCCATAGCGTTATTTAGGAAAAAGCTCACCGATTGTGTACTGATGATAATGTTAGGTAAATGCTCAAGCTGTTATTCAAAGTAATTTATTATCTTCGCTTTTGTGTTTTCTAAAAATAAAATATATTCAGATAATATTCCTGTTCTTTCCCCAATATTGTATAACTTAAATATAAACTAGACTAGATAAATACCATTTCATTCCACCCTAAAAAGAAATGATAGCCACAGATTGACTTTTTCCACCCACCAATTCAACCCTCAATAGCAAATAGTCCTAATATTATTCAAATACAGACATTTAAATTTTTGGCAATATTTGAATATTTCATTGAGCTCGTAAAACAAAGCTGTTCTGGAAAATTCCCCGCGCACAATTTCCACTCTTCTTCCATCAATATTTCCATGCATTAAATTATTGAGTGGCGAAAGCCGCGGGAAAATTTTCTGCTTGCGAAGGTACATTTTGAGGAATGACGCCACGTCTTATCTCATCGGCGGAAAAATCATGACGAAGCGCGTATTGGCCATTATTTTGTAATACGAACCAAAACTTGACCAGAGAGCATCGTCAAAAAGTGATGTAATCGCTTTTAATTAAATTAGCCACTCTATATTTAAACCCAAAATCATCTTATTGAAGGGTGAATGAACGTCTAAAAACCCCAAAGCATGAGGAGAAATGGTTCTTTTTGCTAGGAAAAAGAACTGATCTTTCAATATCAAAAGAATTTTCTGCTTTGCATGTCCTTTGACTGATGGCTCCTTTTCATAGAGCCTCAGTGGGCAGAATTCCTTGAATTTTAGCAATAAAAGATCACATTTAATAGAGTAATTGAAAAGGAAACGTCATTTATTCGTCTCTGCACGTCATATGGAATAGTAATTCTCTCTGTCAGATTATTATTCTGCATGATATGAATATGCGTGGGCGCGAAGCTTTCAAGTTTCCAGGTTGAAAAGCTTTTTGTCCACGTGTCAATCTCCAGGCGAACAATATTCAATCGGATTTTTTTTCCTGACACACAATATTTTTATCTTGTCCTTGCAGATGTGGGACGAACTGTGTCCTTTTCTCAAATAAAGAACGCCGCATCATTTCACATGATTGTGTGACAAGTTTTTTTTGCTGCAAACAATCTCCGCAGATAAAAATGGTCTTCATATTGTTGCACAAAATCCATTCCACGACTTAAAGAGAAGAATATTGCGCAACAAGAATACAAAATGCTTGGCATTGATGAGAAAACATTCAATGGAATGATCTTCAATTGAAAAAACTTGCGTATATCGCAAATGATTGTGAAAAATTGCACACAATTTCTCAATAGTTATTTTTAGTAAAAATAATTGAATGATAGAATGTGTGATGTGGAATTGATGGAGTGAGAGACAAACAGAAACTTCTATGCAGAACTTTCAATCGATATGAAAAGCGTCTCTATTGAGAAAAATAGAGGCAGAATTGGAGAAAGGAAATCATCATTCTACCATTCTCTTTCTCTCTCTCTCTCTGCAACATGGACATCTCTATGACACTGAATTGTAGCATTTCTACGAATTCCCTGATAGACTGACTTTCTACATTTCATGTCCATTCACACTCAAATTCCCCACACAAAGCAGTAGTGCAGAAAAGGGTTCATGACATTGTCGCAATAAATCAATGGTTTTGTATCAAGAGATTTGCTCCTTTACCAATTTCCTCTCATCGACACAAATCAATATTATGATATAAATCTAAAGTCTATCACAAAGCCAATTTCCGAAGAGCCTTTTTAGCAATTCGAAGAGGGAATTACATCCATTTCAATAGTAAATCATAAGAATTTCTATTTTATACTAAAAAAATCCACTGAAAAAATCATCATTTCCATCAAAATCCGATCGATTTTCATATAAAGTGTTAATCTTGAGCGATGAAAACCGCACAAAAATGAGCAATAAAAGCAGGAAATCTGAGAAATAACACTACATATTACATGTAATCATGGATGGAGATTCTCTTCCCATCCTCATCATTTCATGGCGCGAGAACTCTCGTTCATATTTTCATTCACCATAGCGCTATTGCTACAGCTATGTAGCCACCAGATGTGATAGCAGAAGAATGGCGAAACCGCACAAATACGCCCCGACAGAGTTGAACTCAATAGCATAAATATTGCTTTAAAGCTCTACATACAGAATTTCCACCAGAAGTGTTGCGACTTTGAATACAATTGCTGAAATACACATATTTTTCAGCTTTTATTGCCACGATAAATTCCATTTCTTCCACCATCGCAATCTAGAACTGTCGTCAACTCTCTGAGAAAGAGATGTACGAGACCTGAAGAAATAACTTATTGGGAATTGAAAATATGCTGTATAGCGTGATTGATTTTCCTTCCGTCGCTATGAAATTCTGCAGCCGGAGGACCGACGGGTGGTCTGACAAGCTCCGCCACTTTGCCGAGAAAAAGGGATGAAAGAGAGAGAGGGAGAGAGAGAGAGCATGAAAAAGGGTGGTTTTGTGGCGAAATAAGAGGAAATTACATTTCTTACCCAGAGTCTTCAGTCCACCATATGTTGGCATTCAATTATTCAATTTGCCATTTTATTGAATTAATCAAAAGTGTGTGTGTGTTCTTTTTTTTCTCTCTCTTTCTTCTCTCCTCGTCAGTTCGTTTGCCTTTGGGAAATATACTTTTTGGACTCACTTTTGTGCTGTGTGTGCATTTGAAAGTGGCCACCTGTTCCACTTTCTCTCGTGGCATTTCAATTTCACACATTTATTATTATTTTATTGTCACCACAAAATTCTCATTCTCCCCCCCCCCCAAAATTCACTCTAGCACTTCGCCCTCCCTTTCATCCACCCACACACAGACACACACAAGGGGGTGGACCAGGCGAGTGTGTAAAGGTGGTTTGAGGAATTTGAAGTAAGGAAAATGTATAAAAATAACACGAACAAAAAGTTTGGTGTCACAGAAAACACCGCAACAGAGTTGAGATGTGAAAATTGTATCGAGATACTTTTTTTTAACTGCGAATTGGGTGAATTTCGTCCAAAATCCCTCTCTCACCATTCGCCGAAAGAAAGTTTAATTCTCACGCTACGACGCAAAAGATCGAACCTAATCCCTCTGCCCACGTTTCCAAAAGCCCTTGCCTTGCGGAGTTGTTCTGCGTAAAAGTTACAACGTTCGAATGGAGACGCCTGGTGGCCACCAGGCGTCTCCACTGGACTTTCAGCCCTCTCCGGGTGAATTATACTTTCCAGAATTAATTACAACCCAGGGGAATTCAATAATCACCCTTCGCGCAACCCCCTCATGGCATCATCTTCGACAGAAATAGCTGATGAACCGCCCACGAGGCTGAGCTGCAATTGTACGAAAATACAAACACTTCTGTCCAATTTGGCGGAGCAAAAAAACCACATCATTCATTTTTTGCGCCACTGGCAACCACCCACCTCCCCCCGGAAGCCTCTGCAGCACCTACACTATGTATCTTGTAGGACGATGGTGAGTTTTTTGCCATCCACTGAGTATTTACTTCCTCACTGTTGTTTGTCTTGTCGAGGAATGAGACAGAGAGAGAGAAGAGAGTGACTCAAGGGGAGATCGATTAATAATTCAAGGTGCTCAACAAGGATTTTTCCTAGAAGATGAAACCCGAGACAAAGGATATGTGAAGGAATTCAGTTTGCAATGGAAATTTTACTTCAAGGAAAAAAAAATACCTTTGAAATATTTCTATAAACACGCGTTTTATTGTAAACATGTTGTTTTCAAACAGCTCAATCAAAAAGGATTCCCAGCAATGGAAAAAATAGGCATTCTCCGCTTTTATGCCTAGATTTAATGTAAATATACATATATTTTTGGTATGAATTGACAACATTTGCTCCACATTCAGAGAGCGACAATTGGAAAAATCCAGTCTCATTTTGTGCATTTCACATTGTACACATTATTGTGGTGAGTGTTCCGGACAGTTAAATCAGAAATATGTTTGTCAAATTGCATTTCCACATCAAAGTAAACATGGAAATATGCATTTAGGGGTGAATTTGGGGTGAAAATCACAAAAGGATAAATGGAAATTTGTGTGATGAAACATTTGACGATGAGTGACAAAAAATCGAATCACACACATTCAACTGAATATTTTAGGCTGCTGCTTTCGACACAGAGAGCTTTGCGTGATAACCACGAAATATCACCATCAGCCAGGTGTCGCATGATTGGAAATTCAATAGGTCGAGAGAGGAATATATGTAGTTTGCCCTTTTCAATATTTCATGAATATCACACAGAAAGACAGTGATTTCATCTCTGTCTGATTTGGTATTTATTGGGAGTCGTCGGAGTCGTGATGTTGGGAATTTGCATACCCTCTGAATGGAATCTCTGAATGGATGTTGGAAGATACAATTTCAGCGATTTTCCCACCCCGCGGGGCGCCCCAACACCTCCGCGAACATCAATTATCTCCCGCGATTGATGTGAATGAAAATCTCCTTCTCTCCTCGTTGGCAGATGTTCTTCCAGCATCGCCCACACGGAGGGCAGAGGAAAAGGATATAATATGTGTGTTTTGGGGACACTCACCGATCCTAAGTTGTCATAGCCGTACTTGTTGGCGATCTCATGGGCCACCTGGTTGTCCACGTTCCGCCTGAAGCGCACGAGGAAGGAGCTGGTGAACACATCACCAGACGACGAGGACACAGTCGCCACGGAGAGAATCATCAGCCCCAGGAGGCACAGCCATGTCACTGGCATCGCCCAGCAATCCGCACAGGTGTTCACGCACAGGAAACGAGGGGGTGAAAGCTCGCGCTGGTCCCTCAAAAGCAGCCCCTTCGCAGTATAGCAGCTGACGGGTTATTGCGCCTCACCTCAGACACTGTGTGACACCTGGAATATGTCTCTGACTCTCTACTTTCACTCACTCCTGCATGTTTTGACCCGCGTGTCCCTCTCGGTCTGGGAAAGTGTGTATATTATCGGGATGGTCGCACTTTCTTCTCTCACCACCGAAAAAAAACCCCCCGATAAAAAGCACACACACTCGTGTGAAAAGCTCTCTCTCGCGGCGAATGACGCACCCTCGACTGTGCACACAGGACTCCTCTTTTTTGGGGGGAAGACTCCTGCCTGGTCGTCTGGTGTCTTCCTGGCCTGTCCGGCTGGAGAGTGAGGTGGAAAAGATGAGAGGCCCCAACACACAAAACTACACCCAAGTCTTCTCGATGACGTGCCAGTAGTGACAGGAGCTCCGTGAATGGATTTCACTGCCGTCAACTTCGATCGGCCGTGCAACAGAGACGGAGCAATTGTTGGGGATGCGCAAGAGTGGCCCAAGTCGCTGCTTCTCCCCTTCGATCTCCACTGTGTGCGCCTCATTTGGCTGTGAGTGTGCTCAATGACGTCATTGGGTGTCTAAGCTCAACCAAATGATAATATTTGAGAAATATACCCACAATTCCAGGGCGGCACTCGCGAGAGAGCTTTTCCCCCCAAGGAAGCTTTGAAATCGCCCTGAAAACCACATCAAGACAAAGACAGAGAGAAGAAGACGGAGAAAGTGGAAAAGATGGTGAATTTCAAGCAATATTTTCCACCCCATCCGACTCTGATGTTCCGGGGGGATTAAATTCAAAAATTATCGATTTTCCGTTTGAGACAATATATAAAAATAGCCACACAGAGGCACACAAGAGATATGTTGGCTGGAAAAGTGTTGAAAACAACACACACCACATTAAACCCGGCAATTAATGCGCAAGATCACCGTGAACTTTCCCTCTTTCGCACACACAACACCAGACGTTGTTGGGAAAATGTGGGGAAGTGGCGTGAAAGCTCCGCCCTTGAAAGCTCCTTCTCGCGCGCGCCATCCGAGGGAGGCGCGCACTATGCGACGCGACGAACAGAAGCGGGAATTCACACGCACGATACATGCGAATTACATTAAACCATTTCTCAATCTCAAATCCCAACCAGTCAAGTGTACTTTTACGAGTCGTGCGAGTGTGATAAAGAATCGATGATAGCACACATCATAAAATGGTTCGTTTTTTTCCCTCCACACCGCCCCAATCGGCTGCTGAGGGGGTGAAAGGGGGTGGAAGGGCGAGAAAAAACACAGTCGAGGGCTTCGCTTTCGCCAAACAGATGTTAAGTTCGAGTTGGCAATTTAATACAACATTAGACATTGCGCACATTGGCATCGCCTCTCTTCTCTATAATTCCAGTGATTTACATATTTTACATGCTAAATACAATCGTAGAAAAATATAAAGTCAATTCCTACCTTTCTTTTCGGCAGGTTTGGAAATGTAATTTAGCACTATTTTTGTGTGTGTGTTGAAGAATAAATCAGATTCATTTATTGCTGAGATTCTTCTGCAGCTGCTTTTGCTTTGAGTTTCTTAACCTTTGCAGCGCCTCCTGGCGCTTCCTTGCAATCTCTGTCATCGTACACTTCCCAGAAGCTGAAAGAATCGCTCAAATATTGTAAATGCATTAGAAATATGTCAGCCAAACTTACACGAAACCGATGAGATCGACTCAGAACTGCCACTCCTGGACGGCGGTTCATCGCTCTTCCTCAGCGTGGAATTCACCGGCATGCTGTCGTATCTGTTGATCACTTTCGCAGAGCTTTGCGACAATTGTGAATCTTGCTTCTGCACCGGCATCGAAGCGTGCCTTGCAAAGCTTCCGTTGCGAGCTGAAGATCCATCGAGTGGCAACTGAGACAAGATGTCATCGAAGGAGTCATCAACAAGCCACTTCAGCTCGTCGTCTCGACTGGAAGACTTCAATGGAGGATTCTTTACTCCACTTGAGGTGGGTTTTGCTGGAGTTTTCTTGCGATCTTCCCTAATTTCTCTATCCAAATTCTGAACACATTCTTCTACGGTGTAGTAAATCTCTTCCGACGACGTTCTCGACGACGAGTCTTTTTTCCTGCTCACAGCCGGAGAGAAAATCTCCGGAGATTGTGCAACTACAACTGGCGGATCATCGATAAGAGCAGCCAAATCTCTATCATCCGCCGAATCATCAAACAAGAAGTCTTTCTGAATGGTTGTCATTGCTTTTGACGGTCCAGGAGTGTCGGCATTCTGCACGACAGTCTTATCAGAAGTGTTTGAGTCCTCCAGGACATATTTCAGCATATCCGCGGTGGTTTCCACCCTCGAAGTGGCGGATTTTTCAGCTTCCACCGTCGGTGAACCACTTGAAGTGGTTGTACCAGAATCGGTGCTGCTGTACTTTGACTCCATCGTCATGAGATCCTTCCTGAACCTGAAGAAGCCCGTCTTCGCCTGATCTCTCCTCGCATTGGGCCGAGTCAGACTGTGCGATCGAGTGATTGGGGAGGATTTCTTCTTCGCGGAGAACTTCCTCTGGGCTGGACTATTCTTTGGACTGTCCCATCCCCATGCCACATCCGCTTTCCAGTGCAGATCCTGCGACAGATGGACAATCGGCGAGTTGTCATTCTCCGGAGAGCACGCTGGAGCACTCTGTATGTGCCGGGAGCTGATGGGTGTGGAGAAGTTCTGTTGCTTGAATTGACCTTCATCCTGTCTGGATGGAGACTTTCGCTCAGGACTCTCTCGAGGGGAAAAAGGACCTGAAAATTGGGGGCAAAATAAACATAATACAGCTGCTCTGAAGCCAAAACATCATTCGTCAATTCACTCACGAGTTTTAGTCAAAACACTGACGCTTCGCTTCAACAGACTCCTCTTGCGCGTCTGTGGGGTCTCATTCATGGTGCTTTCAGCAACACCGGACCCAGATCTTTACAATTTCTCAGGAAACAACTAAAATTTCCCTCTATACAAAAGCGAAACGGACAAAACATCAACAATGTGAGGTTAAGTTTCACTGGAAGCCGCCAACTTCCACAGATACGCAGCCCAAAACCAACTTGAAAAATTCACGCTCAACTTTCCATCCCAACAAGACGAAAAAAAAACCATTAAATACAGGTGTAATTTGTGTAATTTGTAATTATATTCGCTCTCCGAGAACAAGGGTAGTAAAAAGACGACAAATGGTGAGTGAAAAGATGTCCTAAACCGACCCTGACAGCTCTGGCGAGGAATTTGGTATTAAATGCCAGGAGAGCCAGAAGGCCAGGAGCGGCTGGAGGGCGGCGACCAGTAGGAGGAAGTACAGCTTCCTCTTGTGACCCATTGTCTGGTCGAATTGCTGCTGATTCCCATACGGATCGTAAGTTGCCGGAGCAGTTTGGGTGTTGGACAGAACCTTCGCCTTAATGTTGCGCAGCTGGAAAAAGTGATTATTGATGGAGAGTCCACAAGTCAAGAGCGCCTGAGAACTCACCAGGAAGAAGGCCAGGGAGAAACTGCTGTACGCCAGAGCGCCATAGTAGCCGGACTTGCGGAATAGAATGCTGACGATGAGGCAGAAATTGATGATGGTGAATTTGTATCCGGAAAACGCCAGCAAATCGAGCGTCTTGAGCGATGTTGAGATGTTGGCCACATAGAGAGTCACTGAGTAGATGATGAGCTCAAAGAGGCTGTAAGCCAGAGCGCTGGACGCCAGAATGCCCAGTTGTTCCGGTGAGAAGCGATCCTGCATCCCTACAAAGGACACACAATCGTCTCTAATCAAAATCGTCTAATCGTCTCAAAGCAACTCACCGAGCACCAGTCCGGCGAGGACAACGTAGGTGATGTAGGCCATCATGGGGATGTACAGATCTGGGGCGTTGATGTCGTACCTGGGCTGCACGGGATTGTCCTGGTCGTACTTCAGCGACCAGTCGGAGTGGGTGAAGGGGAAGAAGAGGAGCCTCAGCTTGTTGATCACGTACTTGTTGTCCACGGCGAAGTAGTACTTGAGCCGCGTCACGGGGATGTACTTCTCGAACTCCCTGTTCACCAGCTCCTTGCCCTGATCCGCCAGCCTCTGGCCATACTGCATCGCCATGTCTTGGACAATTGGCTGCTGCAGCATCGAGAACTGTCCCTGGAAGCCGGCCCCAGGGCCCGCTTGGGGCGCACCACCAGCGAAAGGCACCTGCTGCTGCGGCATCTGCTGCGGATTCTGCCCATAATTGCCCGGATATTGGGAGAAATCTGCAAACACAGCGTGTGAATGAGCGAACTCTCCCTGCAGACGCAATCACTCACTGCTTGGCGTCACATTGGGGTCAAATCCGTAGCCCTGGGGCATGGGATACTGCTGCTGGGGGAGATTTTGAGGCATTCCCTGGGATGGACCGTAACCTGGTGTAGTTCCACCGCCTGGCGCTGCCCCAAAGGCTGGTTGTTGCTGAGGAGTTGACATGAACTGAGCGCTGGTTGACGGAGCCGCTGGTCCCATGGCGTTGGTGTCACTCACTCTCTTGGGCTTCCGGACGCCGCCAGCAGCTGCAAAAAGACACCCAATGAGTACAGAAAGACACACCATATGGACAAAACCAGCAAATAAATGTGCCGCACACAACTAAAACCACACAAAACGACCAAAACCAGCCCGGAAAAGCCAGGAAAACACACGCAAGACTGCCCCATTGGCCCATAACACGCAACTCACACATTACTTGCCAGTTTTCCTTACAATTCTCAAACTTACGCTGCCGGGCGTTTGCATTGGCATTGTAGTTCATTCTTGGTCACTTTTCTTCACGTTCTCACAGAGATTTTCCCGGAAAATACGCTCAAAATGTTGTCATCGCCAAATCACCGATCAAACGTCAAGACGCAGCCGTTGAATGTTTCAGACACTGGAAACCGCAGCCGCCGCAGCCACTCTTCGCGTAGCTCACTTCACGCCAGAGCTTCTCAATCGGCAAACTTTGTGTGTATAATTTTTAAATGTGTACCGTATTATTTATTTACATGCACTTTATATACAGAAAATTTCATCATTTCTATCTTGATTACTATTTCTCAAAAATTCTCTCTTCACTTCTCACATTTTGTAATGTTTTTTTTTTGTTTTCCTTACGCTTCTTTTTCATCATCTTCTTCAAATATTACTTTTCTATTTACAAAAATGGCAAACATTTTTTTTTTACTATTTCACTCTCGTTCTCAAAAATCGAAAAAAAAAATTTCTCCAACCAATATATATATATTGAAAATCCTCCAATTCTCTGTTATACACACAATAAATTAATAATTTAATTTAGAAATTTCTTCTCATGTTCTTCTCACAAATGGATATGTATTAAAAATGTTTCCTCAATATATTATTTTTCAAATCATTTTCAATTTTTTTTTAGTTTTATCAGCAAAAAATGTGCACTTTTACACACAAAAAAATTACTTCAACTCCAAAATGGCTTTTCGCACACAATTGCATGTGGAAAATCAATATAGAAATGCTCAATTTCCGCAACAATTACATTTTCTTTCTCCTCACCATTTGTCACTCTTCTTCCTCATCTTCTGCTTTTGATTCTCTTTGCTATTGTTATTCCTCCTCTCATCTCGTCCGGAGACAACATATTTTTTGAAAAAAATTGTGTTGCTAGAATTCTCTCAGATTGAAATGAATTTTCCTCTCGTAGAATTTTTTTTTTCATCTGCGCCTTACTTTTGCTCTATAGTTTTCTTTTTCTTCTTCTCCTTGTTTTTTAGTAACTCTATTAAAATTAAAAACTTTAAATATTCTATTCATGTGTTATTTAGTTATAAGTTTTACAGTAATATTTTTTATCTATCTTTATTACTTTTCTTTTTAACTTGCGTTTTTTCTCATCTCTTTTTCCACCTAAAAAACTTCAACTGTTGTTTTTTTTTGTTCACTGACTTTACAGAAAAACGAGAAAAAGAAAAATATATTTTTCGATAATAATGCAAAAATGTTACTCATTGTTTCTCTTCTTTTGTATTTTGTTAATTTGCTTTTCTGTTACATTTCTCAGATTGTTCTCGTCAATAGTTTTTCCTCATCTTCTTCTTCACCATCTTCTGGTTCAAATAAACTTTCACAACAGCACGTAACAACATTAAAATTGCTAATTTATTCAAAATATATCAGTTTCTCAGCGTTTTTCACCTCTTTTCCTTCCTTCATTCCACTTCACAATTATTTTGCTTATTTTTCCCTAAAAATATTCATTTTTTCTTTAGTATTTTTTCATGATGAGAGAAGAATCGTTTCTTGTTTTCATGTTAAATTTGCTTATAATGTTTTTTTTCTCTCTCTCTCTTCTCAACTACTTTTTCACGCTACTTTAAGTGATTTCGGAATGTTACAAGAAAGAATTTTTTTTCCTTTATTTAATTGTACAGAATATGTTTTTCTTTTCTTCTTCTTCTCCTCGTTTGATGGACAGATTTGTGTTCTTTTTCTTCTTCTTTTACGTCACGTTCAAAGATTCAGGCTCAAAGAAATGAAGAAAAAAGAAATTATGTGAATAGAAAATTGTGGTTTTCTTTTCTTCTTTTTTTTTGCAATAAAAGCAGGTAAGAATAAATCACAGTTAATTAAATGTATATTTGCTAAAATAAATTTATAAAATATATTTTAAAATACAAGAAAATAAATGTTGTGGATTTGTTCGCAAGTTTGTGGCCATTGGAAATTACAAATATGCTTAAACAATTTGCCTATTATAGAAAAAAATCGCCTCTTTTTTTGTTTATCAATGTGGAAAGGAAAGTGTAATAATTTCTCTCTCTCTCTCTATATAATATAATATTAAGAAAAGAGTTGACAATAGAAGCTGAAGAAATATAAAACAATTCTTGCGCTAACAAAAGCTCTCACCACTTTTCTTCAGGCTTTCACTAAAAACTACCGTGAGAAAATCAAATGGTCAGACATTCAAATGAAATAAAATTACTTCTTAGAAACTAATGTAATTGTAAAAATTAAATATTTCTCTCTCTCTCACACACTCACGCACTCTTGTTGCTCTGAAAACTCACTCTCTCTCTCTCTCTCTTTCCTCAAATAGAATAATTAGTAATTACAAGATTTGTTATCTTTGGTGTGTAAAATTTTTGCTACTAATATTTTTCATGTTTTTTTTTCCTTCATCATACTTTGAAAGGTTTTTTCTTCTTCTTTTCTCTTCCCCATTCTTTCCACTCAATATAATATCCTATAAATCAGTTTCACTTCAGAAATCTTATATTTTAATTTACTGCTCTTTCCATTCCGTGCTTTTTTTCTTTTCTTCATCTTTTCTCATATCAGATCCTCCAGAAGACACAGAGTTTTCCTGCTTTTCTCTCACTTTTTTCCATTTGCATGAGAATTTTATTCATAGGCCCATTTTTGTTTCGACACTCCACACGATCTGGAGTTCTTCCGCGCGCGGTGAAACTGCGTCAAGACATTGTTTTTCCTAAACATGGTTTTCACTGTATTAAACCACTGTTCCGCCGGGAGGCGCCGATGGACTCGAGCCGGCGTGCTGAGGAGCATTCTGGAAAAAAGGGTGAAAAAGAATGATTTTTTTCTCCTCTTCCAAATCTACTTTATTACTCACCGCAAATCCTGGCCTCGCCCACGTATAGATAATCCCATCCTGGCACGCTGTGAGGAAGCAATCTTCGCGGAAAATGAGCGCTGTCAGTCTTTCATGGGCGATCTTCTTGCACACAAGCGGCTCCAGCACGGGACACTCATCGAAGCGCGGACACGCCGACGTGCCAATCAACTTCATTGGATCATAAGTGGCCACAACACTGCTTCCGCCACTGCTGCCATCGCCATCGGCTGCGCCATTCCCATTCGTCGCCACCTGAACCATCGCAGCGCCGCCGCCGCCAGATCTCGTCTTCCCACTCGTGGCAATGCTGGCGGAATCACCTGGACTGCTGGCGCTGTTGTTGTTGTGCACAAAGTGATGATTCGCACTGGATTTGGACAGACTGAATGTCTTCTTGCCATGATGATGACTCGACGCCTTGTCACTGCCGAAGCCCAGATGTGACAGCCTCTGCGTGAGGGTGTTGAAGGCCGACATGCCGTCGGAGGATTTGCTGCTGCCGTTCTTTGAGTCCGGCGAGTCCGTTGACTTAACACTATTGCCCACACAATTCCCAATCACACTCACACTCTTGCCACTCTTCCCACTCACGCTGTTCCAATGTTTACTATCACTGTTCGTGGCCACTGGCGCACTGTCACTCGCCACAGAGTTGGCAATCTTCCCACTGGCCGCCGCCGCCGGGCGTGGATTGTCCACATCCCGGGACGCTCCGCTCGACACTGTGGACATGGCGGCACTTGTTGAGGACACAGAAGAGCCAGAGGCTGACGATGAGGCACCCTTGCGCTCCGCCTCGCCATTCACGAGATTCTGCTGCGGATCGTGCGAGCTGAGCCGATGCCGAATGCCCACCGGCTGTCGCAGCACATCCTCCGTGATGTCCCACAGACACAGTTGCGTATCCTGACTCACGGATCCCAAGCGATAGCTCGTGGCCATCTTATCCGCCGCCGTGGCGCTGGACGGTGGCCGTCGTGCCGCGTCATTATCATCGCCACTGTAGTTTCTGAAGCCCCCATCATTGATGGGATTCTCATCGTCCGAGAAGTCCGGGCCGTCCCAGTGCGAGTAGCTCGTGGTGTAGGGATCAAATGCCACCACGGACACCCATGATCTGTGGCCCTGCCCACGCGCCACAACTCGCCTCTCCTGCATCGACCACACCGTCACGAGATCATCCTCTCCGCCCACCACAATGTACTTCCCATCCGGACTCCAGCACACACACAGGAATCCCCCGAAGTACGATCGCGCGATGCCCAGCAACTCCATCGTGTCATAGTGGAAGACCCGCAGGAAGCCGTCCTGCGACACAATGGCCAAATTGCTGCCGCACGGCGAGAAGCTGATCTCATTGATGCTGCCATTGTCCGTGCCAAATGACCACTTGTACAGCGGATTGCGCGTCGACTTGGACTTGCACGTGTAGATGACAAAGCCCTCGCCCATCTTGAACTGCTGATAGTTGGGCGCTGTTGGCGTGCACGGCAACTCCTCGTTGTACAAATACAGATGCCCAGAAGCATGGGCGGCCAGGAACAGGTTCGGTGACGACGGCAGCCACTTCAGGCACGTCACTTTTGTCTTATCAATTAGGCGCTGCAAAGAGAGAGAGAGAAAGAAAAGAGTGTGTTTATCAGTGAATTCACTCAAATGAAACCTTTTTTGCATAGTAAACATTAAC